ATGATCACATGCAGTGCTTTTGATGGTTGGGGGGAATATACAACCATGTTGTTCTGAATCATTTTGTTCCATTGTCTGTGATGGTAACATTTCCACTTGGTTCCAGACCTGTAGAGTCTTTTGACATGTTGTTCTTGACATGCTCATACAAGTCCATGGAGATTGTGTATACTCCTCATGCTCCTTTGACAGGATTCCTCAGAGGGCAAACATCGAGCAGCCTTTTCTCTTTTGACTTTTCCTCAGAAGGGTGAGAATAAGGCTTTGAGTTAGTCTTGCTGTATTCAATCCATGCAGGGAGACAACCAATACGGGTTAGACAGTTAATTTTCTGTTGTTTTTGTATTTTTGTAAGTGAAAAGATAGGTGAAACGAGGTGAATTTGGGAATCCACCCCCTCTGAAAGCCAAAGGTTCTCCAGGAGAACCGTGGCAATGGGGGCGGGCTCCTCAAGATTTCCCTTTTGGGACAAGGTGTTGGTGGGAACCTGCAGGCAACCAGCCTGCCAAGAGAAATGAATAGGATATGATTAGATAGTGGCAGCCCACCAGGCTTGTTGAGGGGTGAGTTTCTGCAGCTCATGGTAGTGCTCCAGATTTTTGTGGTCAGTGAAGACCACTGTTGGTTCAACAGGGGACAGGAGATATGGGCAAAAGGCCTTGAGGGCCTGAATAACTGTGAGCATTTCAAGGTCATAGACCTGGTAATGCTGCTCAGCACCCACAAGAGACTGGGACAAGTATGAGCACAGGTGCCACTTGTTGTCTTACCTGTTTTGAGCAAGAACTGCTCCAGTTCTGAGCTTGGAGGCATTGGTAAACAGAGCAAAGGGTTTCACAAAGCTGGGGATGGCAAGGACTGGAGATGAGCATAACAAGGTTTCAAGCTGTTCAAAGGCAGCATTACACTCCTGGGTCCAATGGTAAGACACTCCCTTCTTCATGAGCTCATGTAGGGGTCTAGTGATGCTGGAAAAGGAAGGGATGAACTTTCTGTAGAAGTTACAGAATCCAAGGAATCAATGAAGTCCCATAAGATTGTCAGGGGCTTCCCAGGTAGAAATGGTGTTGGTCTTCATTGGCAAAGTCTCCATACAGCCTTTTCTGATGATCATTCTGAGGAATTCTACTTCTTTGGCCTCAAAGCAGCATTTACTAATCTTGAGGCACAGTTCTTCCTTTTCACAGATCTTCAAGAACTCCCATACACATTTCTGAAGTTCTTCTAGGGTCTTGGCATGGACAACAACATTGTCCATATATCCTACTTGCTTTCCTCTTTGAGATTCAAAGGTGCGATCCATATACCTTTGAAAAGACAGAGGTGAGTTGCATTGTCTGAAGAACATTACCATGGGTTCAAACAATCCCCTGGGTGTAATGAATGCCCCTTTCCACTCATCTTCTTCCCTGACATGAAGGTTAGTGAAACCCCAACAAATATCAAACTTAGCATAAGTATTTTGATTTGATGAGTTCATCAAACAATGCCTGTGCATTCAGTAATGGGTGTGTGTCCTGGATGGTGAATGACTTTAGGTAGCAGTAGTCTTGAATCAACCATGTTTCTTTCCATCCTTCTTTGCAACAAAGAAAACTGGTGCAGCCTGTGGTGATGTAGAAGGCCAAATCTTTTTGCATTTTAGATTTTTGTCCAGGAATTCATCCAGGACCTTGAGTTCATCTGGGGACATTGGGTACACTGCTGCCTTCTTTGGTTTGAAATCATCCTTCAACCAGATTTCATGGTCCAGTCCTGGTCAATGTTTTGGCAGCTGGAATGTCATCTTCAGTGAATACCTTGGCAAATACCTTGTAGTGTTCCAGAAGAGTTACCTCTTCCTTTCCAGAGGCAATTGCCACCTCTAATTCTGTAGACAAAGTAGTTTTATTAATTATTACCTCTGGGGTTACACCAGATCCCTGTTTTACCACTTCTGGGGGCAGACCAGGAGATTCCTTCTTACTGCCCATGTCCAAAGACACTACCTGTTGAACATTAGCCCTCTCCTTTTCCAGATAAACAAACCCATCATCCCAGCACATAATCTTCCTGGTTTCCCAGTTCATATGTGGCTTGAATTCTTTGAGGAAGGGCATTCTGAGGAGAATATGTTCCTTTCCCACTAGGGGACTGACATAGCACTTGACTCTTACTGTCCTTTCCTTTATTTCCATCTTCAGGGTTACCTTGCAAGTGACCCATTCCTCATCTTTTCCAGTGAATGATGTGGTCTTGAATTTTTGCTCCACCCAATAAGTGGGGATTTTGAGCTTCTGGACCATTCTTTCAGAAATAAGGGAAACCTCAGCACCAGAGTTGATGCACACCCATATACCTGCCTTGAAGTCAGGTAGAATGACCAATCTGAGCAGTGAACAGATTTGCATAGAGGACTCATTGTCTATAGAAGTACATTTAGCTGACAACATGGAAACAGGACTGACTGTAGCAGGTGATTCAGCAGTCCTCTTTAAAAACCCAGCAACTTCTTTTCCTCATCATTAGCTTCCCAGTTGCCTATGTAGGCAGTCTTGGTACCATCTTCCACAACCACTATATGAACATTGGAAAGTTGCTTCTTCTTACAGTCACACTTGATGTGACTGACTTCATTACAGTTGTAACATTTGACTTCCAAACTGGATTGACACATGTTTTGTTTGCATTTGTCCACATCCATTGTGTTAGGATCTTGGTGATTGCCATGGTAGGAAATGAACCTTTGCTCATATCACAATTCTTTTCCTTCTAGGATATGCTTCATGGCAAGGGCTGTGTGAGCTTCACTGGCACATTGGATCCATTTGATTACCATAATCAGTATTCATCTGGAATTGATGATCCAGTCATGATACTCCTTGTTGAGTCCTTTGCTGAAGAAGATTCTGGCTTCACAAGATTCTTCCTTGAGCTGGGCCTTGTTTACCAGGCCTGTAAATTCTGCAATATATGCTTCCAGCTCTCTTTTCTCCTGCTTGATATCCAATAGACATAGGATAGTGAGTGCTGTTTGATCACCAGACTTGAAGGTGGCTTTGAGTTGTTCAACAAAGTGTTTGAAGTCATCAAGATAGCATATGGTCCTGTCCAACAGCTTGTATTCATTTTGGTAATTTTTGGCAAATGAAATAGCTGCTCCTTTAGTCATATATGTGAGTGCAAAAGAGATCTTGAGGGCTTCCATATTGTAAACATGCTGATTCAAGGCTAAGTAGCCTTCCACTTGGGTTAACCAAGTCCAAAGCCCATTGTGGCTTCCATCATATTCACCAGGTCACCCAATGTTGAACTCCCAGCCTCCATTGGGAGGGCCATGGTAATGGTACTGATTGTCATTGTTGAAATGTGCTCTTCCCTTACTGCTCCCACCAGCAGGGGGCTCTGGGGAAAGAATGCACTTTCCAAAATTTTGCTGATACCATTCTTGTAAAACTTCATCAGTAGGTGGGCCTCAAGGAAATGGGTCATTAGCAAGAATTGACTGATGGAAATCCTCTGTCATTTGTGCCCATTGTTCCTCCATTCTCTGTTCCACCTCTGCCTTGGAGTATTGACAAGGGGGCATTTCCAGAACAGACTCTCCATGACCTTGAGTCATGGACATACTTCCTTGTGCTTCTTCCTGTTCTTCCTTGAGGACTGATCCAAGAGAGGTATCCAATTTCTGGTCTTCTTCCTCTGAACTAAGCTGGACTTCGGTTTCTCAGGACCAACTGGGATAAGATAAGCAAGGGTTTGTGGCAGTGACTGAAGGTCCTTGTTGGTGTAACAGAGGTAGGGGTGGATTGACTCCAAGGCCTCTACCAATGAGCAGTCTAGGGGGAACTGGGGGCTTCTGCCACAAAGGGTTTGACACTTTGATGGATAGTGACAACAAAGACTGAGGGAGGATTTATATTCCAAAGGAAGCCTGTCAGTATGGGGATTGGGTGGTGGACAAGTGGCTTTTTATGAAGGGAGTCACAAGTCCAGCTCTAGGGAGACAATCTATTAAAGCCTAATGGCTGCCTGTAGAGCAGTGAATTTGGTTAAGGTGGGAGGGGTGCTTTTCCATATTTGTTTGTCACAAAGGAAACAGCAGATGCAAGTTAGTCTTTATGTGTAGGGAGATGAACAAGCCTTTGGAAAGATTGTGAGAGCAGTTTGTTGAAGTTCAGAAACTGAGGACAGGTTACTTTACATGTAGGGAGTAACAAGTCCAAGAAAGCTGCATTGAGTTTTTTGATTTTGTTACACCCAAGCTGAGTGACTTTATCAAATGGACTAGTCATGAGTGGTGCAAGGGGGAGTCTATGGGCTGAACTTGTCATAACCCCTATGGCTCAGTTATCATGAAAGTCCAACAGAGGTTTGCTCCACTGGTGAGTTCTTCTGAGATCACAACAGGGAGGGAACAAGGATGAAAGCAAAGTAATTAGCTGAGTTGCAAGCTATTGAAAAACTGGGGATACAAGGTATGGTACAGCTGTATAAATACCTCAGGACAAGAGTACCACACCAGTTGCACCATTGAGGCAGTAAGTATCTGCAGCAGTAAACAATGAAACAGAAAAGAGTCATACAGTGTCAAAGATGGAGGTAGGCAAGGAAATGAGGGCTATACTGACTGCACAATCAATGTGCAGCAAGGAGCCTGACACTGGAGCAAGAAGTAAATGATCAGAGCAACAAACATGAGTCAGAGACAAAATATGAAATTGACTGTTCATCAGAGATGGGGGTGGAACACCAGATCACCTACAAGTGCACAGTATCAGAGGGTATTGGAAATACCACAACTGCCAGGGATCCAAGGGTTCTGTTGAGCATAGACACACCCATAATGATGACAGTTATTAAGGACATGAGGAGGCACATGACACACATGATTGCAAGAAGTCAAAAAAGGAAAGACCCCTGATGCAGGTGTAACACATGGTGGGTGCTCATATTGACTTCAGCATGATGACTTGATATTCAAACAGTGTGGTAATGCAAGGTTCATTTATGATTTCATCATGTATGTGCATGCTAATGGCTCATGGGGTGTGTGACACTGACACAGGATTTGCAGGTATCCTGTATGTTGTCTCTCTTTCTAAGAATGACAGACATATCTTGATTGGCCATAGTTTGGCATATATTCTTCCATGTTTATGAACAAGTAAGTTTATGTGGCTTGTCACCCACAGAGGGTTGGACCTCATTGAAATTGTAGTATCACAGGGGGCAGTTCATCTTTGATAATTGTGTTTGGGTGGTCTGTTGTCATCAGGTAAGCTTGTTTGCTCTTACTCCTGGGGTATCATCTTGATTTGTGGTAGTTTGTTCTATGTTCCAGGTGTCTTTTTACCTAATCTTTCTGGTTCTCTATGAACTGAATCTGTTGCAGGAACTGTGTTTGGCACATTCCTTATTGATTGCTTTGATCTGAAGACAGTGATGTAGTGCAGACTGCCAGGCCTATGTACACTCAGATCTTGTTTCATCAGATTGTTGGATTGCTCTTGCAGGCCATTGTTGGTTTTACCATGGGTACCATGTGTAGCCTACTCTCTAATCATATTGCCATATTTGCAGTAAGCCCATTGAATTAGAATTGACAGATAGCAACTTTTTAAGTATTATACAGGTTATCTATGGAATATTCCTTGGTCTTGGTGAAGTTGGTGAGCCCAACAGAGTCAAATGGTGTGGTTGACTGGTCTGCTTATATGCTATGAAAAAGGTCCTGGCAGTTGCCTCCATATTCTTGTAGCAAAAACCAGTCCCATGGCTGTCCACAGACAATTCTACAGCATTGCAGCTGCAGTTGGAAAAGTTGGAGCATTCATTGGATCATGGGGTATGTCTATGCAAAGCTGAATTTGGTCTGCCTCTAGTGACTGATTTCTAATTGCTACAGTCTTCCCACAAATTGTTGATGGTGGGTTTCAATGTGCTTGGTGTGAGGCATAATTACTCACCTGGTGGAACATGTTCATCTAGCCTTTGGTGGTTCACAAACTGCAAAGGGCAATACTGGTCCATTCTGGATTGGTAGTGGCCTCACCATTCTCAGTGCAGTGGTGACATTTTTCTTGGTAAAGCCAATTACAGATGATGGTTTGAAAGCTGAAGACAAAGCTGTATGCTTTTTTCTGTCATCCTTCACTTCTCTGGGCATGAACTGATACCCCTCTAAGTTCTTTCAGTACCTGGAAGAGAATGGATTTGATGTGAGCCATATATGGACATGGGAGACACTAACTGAGGAAGTGAGGTATAATGAGATGGTCAAGCAGCAATTGCATGATGATGAACTTGCAGTACTACCTACATAGGTACTCCTGAACTCCAAGTGCAAGAGTGAAATATGTGTATAGTAGTTGATGCCCAGTCAAAACTGGACAGGACATAGGAGGATGTAGGCTGCTAAGGCCAGATCTGTGGGATTGTCCTCTGGTATTGTTTTGCAAGTATTGTAATTTGTTATGGATTGCATGACATTAGCAATGCAATCTCTGCAGTTCACTTAGTTCAACATACAATGTACATCACATTGCTGAGCCCATCTTCTCAATGCTATGCTGTAATGGATGCATCTTTTTCTTATCTTATCTTTTCCCTTTTTGTCTTATCTCTTGATCTTATCATACAGCCATCATCTAATCAACACAGGTTACAGCTCTTTCCTCTTCTGTCTTAGACTCTTCCAGACTCTCACCTTGAGGTATACATATGGCTACCCTTGATGTCACCTGGTGATGTCATACATACATGCATAGTACACATGTAAGGGCCCTGTATTGGTACTCTTGCCATGATCACCATGGTTGCATATCACTTCATGGCAGTCAATGCATGGTATATTTCAGTGAATGGACAAGGGGGGAAGAATTAATTGGACATGTAACTGGCATTTTTGGGTTTCCATCATTGACTGGTATGTGAACAATATGCTTATTCACAAGTGACCTTGTTGACAATGGTCATGCATACAAAGCCTTTGTGTTGACTACTTGGTCCATTGTGTTTTAGACCACCCTTTTCTGTGGTTAACACTACAAATGTAATTTGCTGATTTGCATTATGTATGGCCCACACTCTCTTTGGCATCCCAACAGGATTGCAATATGTACCATGCCATTCATTGCACCAGGTGGCCCCTGCACAAATTCACCTTCAGGAAACTCAGGTATGGCATCTTCAGTGGAGGGCTTGTCCTTGCAACAACAATTAGATACATGCATTGAGTCTAGCAAGAGATCCATAAATTGTTTAATCTCAGGTAGCAAGTCATGTACTGAATACATGACAAGCCTGAAGAATGGGTGAGATGTGCACACCTACTGTGAGGATACATGAGTCCACATACTGCAACACAAAGCAATGATGATCAGAATGCAGTTGAAAATAGTGTCCATTGAGTTCCTTGCCATTGACAGTTGTGGGTTTGACAAAATTCAATGACACTTCTTGCAATGCAACCAACATTTATATATCAAAAACCCTCCAGCCATCCACTGGACACCATGAGTGCAAACAAGGCAACAGTGTTCATACCCAAAACAGATCTGGGTAATGGTTGAGACATTGATGCAATTCTCACATATGTTGATGGTATCAAGGTGGCAAGTTGAACCAGATGGGTTAGTGGGTTGATTATATTGGTACTTTCCATGGAGTGTCAGGGCATGGTAGCAGAGGAATATTGTCTTGGACAGGAACGTCATTAACAGAGTTATAATTGAAGAGGGTTATGGTCATGTTCCATTCTACAAGCCATCCAATAATAAGCACAGCAATATTGTACATACATTGCCTGGTGGCTGAAGCTGAAGGTAGACGAAGTGGCATGAAAGTTCGTGCTCTACACTGTTCACAAAAGTCTAGGACGTGGAATCAGATTCAGTACCATTCCTGGCAAATGCAAAGACGAGGGACACATTCCGCTGAGTCCTCCTCCGTGGTGGCATGGTCACTCTCAAATGAATATTCGCTGTGCACTAATTTATACAGAATTGCACATGAGTCACTGTCCACCGCAAGATCAACCTGTGTTATCGCTGCTATCGGAAAGGACGGACGTGCACTACCAGGCATTACCGCCAGCGTGGACTGGTAGAAACACGATTTTTTTCAGCCCTGGCGGCGTCCCGGAATCCGGCCTATTACATACGAATCTAACCTCAGTTGAGTCAAGTACGACGGCTTGACAGCGCCACATATGAAACCCCAGTCTGGGGTTAGGGTTTACAAGTGGACGTCACCTTCATGATCACTAAGGATCACCACGTTCAGATTTCTCCACCCGGAGTCGCCCATTCAACTGAAATCGACACCTGAATTTCCAAGGCTGGGGTGAAGGGGTACCATTTTATTGGAACAATATCGCTGGTTAGGGAGATCATCATGGCCTCAGATCCGTCGTCCGACACGGCGGAATCACTTAGGGCCTTCATATCGCGTCAACGAACTCTTCTCTCCCTCGAACGTGAAGCCGAGATTGAACGCACGTCTCTATTACTCACAAATTGCACCCCGCGACTTCTTGAGCAGAAGGGGCTTGCGTTGGGTAGTTTGGGTGTGGTCTCTGCAGGTATAGGACTCGGTGGAAAGACGTGCGTTCTCCAACCGATACTGTAGCAGCGGTGCACAGGTGAACTTAGTCAAGAGGCGCAGATTAGTCGAATTAGAGCGTCCTGCGGCATTCCATTCCTCACAGCTGTTTCCACCTCATACGTTCAGGTACTTGGTGACTGGTCCACATCTTTCGTGATCTGACAATAGTAGGCCTGGAGATATTGCACGCGTCGAGGAAAATTTTTCTCTAGCATTGCCCAAAAAGCAAGCTGGAAAGACAAAGAAAGCACAGAACGCTGATACCGACGCGAAGACTTCCAGATCAGCAGAGGGAGTGGTGTACAAGGTAGGATTTAATAGTTCTAACAATACTGTGATCTCAAGGCTTCCTCAGGTAACGGATACCCGGATTGTCATAGCGCTCGATCCTCCAGACTCTGGAGATACAGACGTAGAGTTCCCCGATCGTTGTCGTGTTGTCAAGCTTGCCAACAGCATCACATATGACCGGTGAGATTATCGACGATGATTTTGTTCCGTTACGAATGGTCTGCAAACTAGGATGGAAAAGGCTCTCGATCGACTCGAGAAGACCGTACTGCCTTCCTCTCGCAAGGTGGGCTACTGAAGGATTGATGGTTTGATAACTGCACGTTCACTGTACTCTTCCCAGCCCGATGATAAGACCGATTACCAGTTGACGCCTCTTATCCGCGTGCTGCTCGGAATGTCGCCTCCGTCCAAACCAACGTACACAGATGATATCACCTTTTATGACCCCTCCCTAAATGCGAGCCAAAAACGAGCAGTTAAATTTGCTCTCGCAGCTAAAGAAGTAGCGTGCATCCATGGCCCACCAGGTAACCTGTACTATTTAATATTTTTCTGACATTCTGACCCGTCCGTACAGGAACTGGCAAGACCCACGCTCTCATAGAAGTCATTAGGCAGCTTACCTCCACCCCTGTGGAGGCAGGTATACGGAATCCGACTCGTGTCCTCGTGTGTGGAGCATCTAACCTTTCAGTCGACAATATCCTCGAGCGGCTTCTTGATCTCCCCGCACCTGATAAAGGAAAAGGGGATCCACTCAAAGTTACGCGTATCGGACATCCAGCAAGGGTGATGGCGAACGAGGGAGTACTTGAGTCAACGCTAGAGGTGAAGGCGAGCCGCAGTGACCAAGTATGTTTAGCCTTACGCTTTCGAAAATGGAACGTGACAACCGGTATCAGGCAGCGCTTGCAAAGGACGTCAAAGCAGAGATAGATGCGGCGTTGGACGTTCTGGCTGGAAAAGGTAAGGGGAAGGGTACCAAGAAACCACGTGGGCTTGAGAGAAAAAAGATGTGGGAGGATGTAAGAGCACTGAGAAAGGAGTAGGTATTTCGGCTCTGGGAACAGCCTCAATCCTCATCTTGTCATCAGATACCGCCAACGAGAAGGCGGTGTTGTGAAGGCAGTCCTCGGAGAATCCCAAGTGCGCGATTCCTCATGAGAAGGTCATTGTCCCTTCGTTTTGACAGTCAATAGATTGTTCTTGCTACATGCCACACGGCGGGTAGCAGGCAGCTTCAGAATCATACCTTTGACGTAGTCATCATCGATGAGGCTACACAGGCCATGGAAGTCGTATGTTACTTCACGATACTCCTTCTGATATATGTCCAATCTTAGAAACAGGTGTGCTGGGTTCCTATATTCAAAGCCAAGAAACTCATCTTGGCGGGCGACCCGATGCAACTTCCTCCTACCATCCTATCTCTTGATAAGCGCAGAAAAAACGGTAGAGCCAAAGGTCCGACAGTGAAAGGTTCACCTGAAGTTAAGCAAAAGACGAACAAGAGTTTCGCAAAGACTACCGAAAAGCCTCAAAGTCAGGCAATCCAGACGGAAGCTGCGCGGGAACAGGAGTTCTCCAGTTCTACAGACTCTGACTCAGATTCAGTCAAGGGAGATGAATTTATTGCAGAGGAGGATGTTACCCCTGTGAATGACGAGACAGAAACAAAACCCGCACGACCTAAGAAGCCCGAAAAGCGGCCCATCCTCCGGCCCCCGCGTACGCTCGAGGCCACACTCTTTGACCGCCTAGAGAAAATGTATGGTCCTGGAATCAAGCGTCTCCTTAACATCCAATACCGGTATGCTTTTATTTAGAGGTAGCTCAGCTAAATTGTTTATGTGGACCTTTATCAGTATGCACGCTCAGATATGCGAGTTCCCTTCCAAAACACTCTACGCCTCCAAACTAAAGTCACACGAATCCGTCTCATCACATCTTCTGCAAGATTTGCCTAACACGAGTGCATTCGTCGCATCCGAGGATGACGACACTGTCAAGGAGGTTCTCAGAACGCCTGTTATATTTTTCGATACTGCAGGTTGCGAGTACTTTGAAAGGTTGGAAGGGGACGGCGATGAAGGTAGTCGGTGTAATGAGAACGAGGCTACGGTCGTCAAGGCGTGGACCGAGAGACTGGTGAGTGGAGTTTCGCTACTCCATGCATCGCGGAAATGAACCATATGGGCATAGGCCGGCGCTGGCTTGCATCCATCCCAGATAGCCATCATCACGCCGTATGCCAGCTCGTTTCTTGCAGCTTTACGCCGTGTTAACACATGTTTCTGATAGGTACCAGGCACAGGTGACCCTCCTAACGTCCCTTCTGCGTCCCATCTATGGTCCCGGGCTTGAGATTGGTACCGTTGATGGTATGCAGGGCCGCGAGAAAGATGCGGTGATCATCAGTCTTGTCCGAAGCAATGAAAAGGTCACTTTAAAAAACCGTTGTCCATCCTGCTCTGTTAACAATTTGGTTTAGCGCGAGGTTGGTTTCCTGAAAGAGAAACGTCGGCTTAACGGTGCGTCGGACTAGCGGTCAACCTTGCTTGGCATCTTGGCACTCACACTTCTCACTTTAAGTTGCTATGACACGTGCAAAGAGACACTTGGTAAGCTGTGGTTTTAGTATCCTGTTCGCGATGCACTTGACGCTCATACAATGGTTTCGACAACAATAAGTGTGTCGTAGGCGATTCGTCGACAGTCCAACACGGCGGGGGGTATTTGAAGAAGTGGCTCGCTTGGCTGGAGGCAAATGCAGACGTGAGATTCGCAGAGGTGTAGACTGATGTGGACTGCAGTCACGATCAAACTCCCAGCCCAGGGCCACAGCAAGGTCCGCAGTTAATGGGGAATGTGTGGGCCTGCAAGTGGCTAGTGATCTATGTGCAGGCCCGCAGCGCGAGTAATGAAGATCATGATGGTAACGAATTTAGGGTACGAGCCAAATAACACAGGTAGCAACGCGTGCAGTACATGTGGTTGGTTTGAATGTACCTATGTCATCAGAAGGATAGCCTGGCCATCGGCCGTCCAATCACGCAAACGGAGAAATCCAGCATCAAATCAACCACTTGTACATTGCAACGGAAGTAACCAATCTCGAGTACCTTACGAATCGAGAGGCTATATACAACAGTCAACCTTGCAGAAGAATAACAGTTAATGAATGAATACAATGTGAGCGTGAGCGTGCGTGTCGTGACGAAGGTAAAGAATATCACAATCGAATAGCACGAGGACCAGCCTCGATGTCTATGTCAATACTCGTCGGGATCGTTCAGGGAAGCATATTCCGAGACTGTCCGTACGTCCTCGTACTCCTGTACGACTTCCCGCATTGCAAAGCGCATAATAGGCGTGACCGGTACCAAACGCGGTCCAACGATCTCCTGCTCGTCGCCCTCGTCGATTTGTCCGAGGTCCCTCGTGGAGAGGTTGATAGGGTTCACCATTACCATCTCACCATCCTCGGACGACTCGACGCCCACCGTGCCGCTTGCACCGCCAATATACGAGTTGTTGCTCATCATCCGCGTCGTCATAGGTACTGGTGACGCCGGCTCTCTGATGGTAGGTTGGTCACTGGTGTCTTTGAATCCGACGGGATCTGTCCAGTGAAGGTCGAGTACGCGACCCTTCACCATACCGTCGACTGCACGAACGCCGATCTCACGGCACAGGAGGAAATAAGGAAGGTGCGTCGTGGAAGGCTGGCTAAGTTTGCTCATGACCTTGAGAAGTTGCATGGCGCTGAAATCAGCAGAGTAGTCTTCCAGACCGCTTTCGCGAGCGGATGAGTAAGATTTGAACCCTGCTGGGCCCAACGCAGCGTGAAGGGCATCAGGACCACTGGAGCGGGGCCGAGGAGCAGGGGTCGATGGTGTGATAGGCTCTTGTCCGGGCGGACCAGAAATTTGGGAGGAGTGAATGATATGGAGGTTGAGAATAGCGTGTGCTTGAAGGAAGTGGGCACTCTGCTTGACTACGTTCTCCTGTCAGTACATTGTAGCTCGAGACAATTGCAACAACGTACTGTCAAAGTTACCTCCAGCGCTCACTGCAATATTTGTGAGGGCGGATGAATCTAACATTTCAGGTGCTCATACCGTAGTCATCAATATAATCCTGCCAATGGGCCAGCTTCCCGCCAAACGCTTCGTAGAGCAGCTCAAAAGACAGTGCATGTCGCAGCGTTTCCGGGACACGAGGCAGCAAACGTTCAAAGAAAAATGTACGCATTTCCGTCTTCGAGCAGTCGCCAACGGTGATGATCTATGCACATTCCAGTGATTAGGAACAAACACAGGAGAACAAGACATACTTTGCAGTGCTGCATCACATTCAACTGCCTCAGCCAGGTATGGTAGAATGGATCACTGGTCGCGTGGATGACGTGACACAGCCTGTCCTGCTTGGTGAGAGCGAGCATAGAATCGAGTAGGCACCTCATGGTGTCCACAGACTGGATCAGTGCTGGTCTACGCATATACCCGATCAACGTTGAAGCTCGGAGTGACAAATGTTGTATCGCCTACAGTCTGTGAGCCTCGTCGAAAAACAGCACCGGCATTCTCTTTACAAATTTCTCAGGATCCTTTTCTCGTGGGTTAGAATTGACAGCAGTTGAAGACATCTCTCGTGCACCATCGCAGCTCCTTCTACCGTTACGATGGAAAAACTTGGATATTGCCGAAGGATGGTTCACCTGTGTCTGGTCCGAAGACGCGTCTGACCCCTTCTTCCCAATTGGGGCGAGTTCGGAGCTTTCAAGAGGTTCAAACTCGGCGTACCTCAGCAACGAACTCTGAAGCATCGTCAGGGAGAACCTATAGCGCAACATGTATCTGTTTCTTACCTGAAATAGTTCCATGAGTCGAGCAACATCGCTTGTCCGGACCTGAGACCCAATGCTTCCGACGGGAGCCTCCGAAATCCGACGCTCAACATTCAGACGATCGTGCTGGGCGCAATCAATCTCCTTCACATCGTCTCCATTCTGTGCCACTCACTTTGAAACCCCAAGCTTCCTTTCGGAATTCCTCGAACCCCGGCAAGTTGGCTGCAATTTCCTCGAAGTATTGTTCCATCTGCTGACTCAGGCTCATGTAGAGGCTGAAAACGTCGGCGAAACCCGGTATGCGCAGGTCGAAATGCAGGACGTGATATCGGTCATTCGCAAGGACTTCCCGGATGAGCGCGGTCTGTGTGATACAAAGGGATCAATTACCGATTAGTCCAGTAATATGGAAAGCACTGGATGTCTGAGACGTGCCTTCCCAACCGAACTTGCGCCGAAAACGACAGTGAAGGACGGCGCACCGCCCAGTGCACGATCGATAGCACGTATCTCGGCTTCTCTGTGAAAGAATCCTGGCAGACGGGTAAACGTATGTTTTGCCCGCAGCTGGGAGCGTTCACGCTCTTCCTTAATCTCCTTGCGTGCCTCCTCCAGGAGGCGCTTTGACTCGGTCAAGGAACGAACGGTCTCAGAGGGCTGATAGTAGTTGTAATAGCAGTGAGACGGCGTTTACGACAAGATATCGGCCAGACGTACATTCATCAGGACGCCGAAAATCTCGCTCATCCCGAAAAGGTTCCTACGACCGATGTCCGCACTGAAGGCTGCTGAACTTCTTCGATGGGGGAGGTTTGAAGAAAAGAGCCAATGGATCGTGTTAGAGCGTTGAGGTCGCGGATTTGGACTGGTAGAAGCACGGTGAGCCCTGTTAGACCTGGATCGCATTGCCTGGGTATGATGGGTAGCGGCCAGCTTGAAGCGGTCAATAAAACAGGTGGTGTGCAGGGATGAGTTGTCAAGTGAACAAAAAAGTTCAAGAACGATGAGAGAGAAGTAGGGGAAATGAGTGTGAAGTAGAATGGAATGCAGCTGCACGCGTACCCCCTTATGCACGACTGAACTGGCGGGGACCGTTTGCACAGCATGAGCACGAGTGTGCGTGGTGAAGACGTGGATGGATGATACACGTTGTTCAGGCGAGGCCGTCGCTCTCGCTAAACGCACAGACAAGGCGTTACGAGGACCTTGTCGATAAACCATTGAGACCTTGGTGCGTTGCATACTCGAGGACAAAGCCTAATGCCGTGATCCCAACTTGAAGTTCGGTGTGCTGCTCGTTGAATCGTCGTGTCATCCCAGGTTGTTGGTCGGACGACCTTATAGTATTTTTGCATCCTCACCTGCTTAGTATACCGAACGGGCCGGGGCTGAGTAAAATGGGTGGAATCTGTGCAACTTTATGAGTACTGGAATTCTGAAAGCGATGCATAGGGGGATAGATCAGTCCATTCCATGTCACGGAAGACGTCATCGACGTTCCGAAGCGAAAGACGCGGATCTACACAACGTACTACAGCAAAACATTTCCCGTCGTGAATTTCGACTTTCACTTGGAATCTTGGTTCACATCAATTCGTATACACTCGAACATGCTATGACCATGACCCAACCTAGTGCGCGCCACGCCGTGACTCGGGTGGGATACTAATATTAACACGAAGGGGCGGCTACTATATAACTTGCCACTCATGGCCTGATTTACCTGATCTACTTACCTCCCAGTTCCTATCCCTCCCGATGGTATATTTCGAGTAAGTACATCGGTGCAAATATGACTGACCTTGCCTTGGTCAGCACATGGTTTTCATTTGACGTCTTGGGGCGAGGAGCGGGCGTTCGCCAAAGGGTGACTCCGGCCAGCTTGCTCTTGAATCGTTATTCAATTGCAATGCCCTATGATCGAAATCGAGCGCAATTGGACAGACGTCGGTACAGAGTCGGAGAAGCGATGAAGAGTAAAAGTACTGAATACCTGGTACTCTTATGTTAAACTGCACAGTGAAAGTACCCGCGGAAAGCTTTGACGAGAATCAATATGAATAATTATCATCATCGTCTACGTCCGAGCCATCAGAATATATGGCCGCTATTGGTCGACCACCGCCGAAACTTCGTGGAGCAAAATCACTTTCCTGTTCATCATCGTCATCTGAGGGTACGACGATGGTGCGGTTGCGTATCCTTCGAGAGGGTAGAGGAACCGGATCTTCCTCTTCCTCCTCTGGATACGAGTGGCCTTCCAGCAACTGGTCGTGACCATCTGCATCGTCGAAAATTTCGTATATTCGCGGGCGCTCCGCATCCTCGTCGTCTGAAAGTTCGTATATCCGGGGGCGATCCGCATCCTCATCGTCGATAAAGCTTCCTTCGTACTCTTCATCATCACTACCGTCGTCTTCCTCATACTCATAGATACCCTCTGCTTCAACATCCTCGCCATCTTCATCTTCATCAAAAATGGGCATAGCGCCCATCATCAAACCATAGTCGGCCAAAAAATGCCATGGAAACAACTGGGTACCGTAATCCGCCTCATCCACGTCATCAGCGTCTCCAACCTCCAAACCCATCCACCCGGGATCGTCATCCATATCCACCTCCTCGGCGCTGGGGTCATCGACGAGGTACCCTAGGTCTACATCGTCGTCATCTTCGTGATGCCTGTGTCCAGGATATTCGCATCCGCAGCCCGTGCAGACACCATTCCAAATCTCGTGCATGCAAGTCAAGCAGCGGTATATCCCACCATCCTCTATGTCAAGCATGCCAACATCCTCGCCTCGAGCAGGGTTGTGGACGTCATCGCCACCATGGGGAATCCTTGGAAAGATATTAGCCCAGGGATCAGCGTTATAATTCTGGTTTTCTGGAGGATCAGAGGGAGCAGCAGATTGGTTACGAACGAGGTTGCTCTTTGAGACGGACTGTACGATGTTCTTGAAACCCCATATTTCGATGGGGCGGTTACGAATGACAGCCCGACAGTGAGGGCAAGTCTTTTTCCGTGAAGTAACAGGAATGGTGAGTCGATCGTCAGGTGGTGGCGCTTTAAACCACTGGACGAGACAATCGTAGCACACGAGATGTCCGCAGGGTGAGAGGGCGTATGGTTTGTGCATGAATTCTAGGCATATTTGACAAGTAATGGCCTGTTGCACTTGGTTGAGCAGTGCTTGATGGGATAGCAACAACTTGGAGATAAAACGTTCGTGTCATGACGGGAGCAACGTTTATGGAAAGGGAGAACATACATCATTCGTCGTTGCGAGTTCCTGTGTCAGTTGCTTTACCTTAGTCTCTAATGCAACCGTAGCGGGTAGGGCAACAAACTCTGAATCGTTAGCTTCCTTATTCTGTGTCGCGCCATACGTATCAAGCCTCAAGGCTGTAATCTGGTGATTGCCGCCTACCAGACTAGGCACAACAGGGTTATCTGTTGTCTCACCCGCGTCGTCTTTCACCTCTTGTACGGCATCCGCGGGCATTTCCGGCGTTGGTAACTTTGAAACGCCCTTGGAGGACGAGTCAACTTCAGGTGCCGCAGACGAGAACCGTATGATCACGTTGCGCGCCAACGATGTCTTTGAAGTAGGTTGTCGGTGTGGACACGCAGGGATGGGATTGTTCTCAAAGGGACCGCTTTGGTTTACGACCGGTACCTTCTTCTTCTTCTTCTTCCGCCGCTTGTTATTGTCTCGATGAGAATCACGCCCGGAGTGCGAGCCGGGAGATGTTTGATCCACCCTTTGTTTCTTGGCCACTCTATTAGACACGACTTCCGTGTCGTTTGTGTATCTCTTTAGACCGTTGGGCTGTGAACTGGGCCCCGGCTTCGCTGGACGCGTCGTGGAAGGCATCTAAGGGTGAACCTCGAAAGTCCTGCCACGGAACGGACTAATTTGTAGTGTTATTCCCACGCCTCATCTGTGAGTGGCACCCTGATTATGTCAGCTTAGGGGACTGAACGGGAGGCGAGTTAGGAGGTAATATTTAGTTCGTTCGGACCAGAGGGCTTTACTTGCTCAAGCTTTTATACTTCCTTAAAACACGGCTTGTCGTGCGAGATGACGGCCGTCGGCCCAGGTCCACCTCGGTCCCGACCTTCGATGGTATCCGTGTCCATTGTATCACAACTGCACGGAAGAATTTTTGTTCTCCGTGACTGCCATAAATGAGATTGTCTCACACCTGTAGTATTACCACGTCGTCGATTTGGGTTCGGAAAGGTTGACCACTGCTCACCGGCGATGGTACGGATGATGTCGCGACACGTTCTCCCCTGACCGACTGGCCGCCGGACGAATTACCTGCAAGTTTATCTGTCGTTTGTGGACATGGCCATGTGGAACGTTCCTTCCAAGCCGCTGCGGCTCGGATCGAGAATTTGGAACTTTAGATGCCAGTCTCTGACACGTCAAGCTCGGATGGGAAACAAGGCAGGTACCAGTCTGTTACTGATTCTGAATCAGTAGCTCAGTTATGCCATTTGGTTGTGAGGTATAATTGCGTAGTGCGATCGAGAGAAGCGAACTCAGTCATAACTAGTCTCATGCAACTTTTATCAGGGGTCAAGCAACGAGCTAGTTTGAACGTTTACGAAGCCATTGATAACAAGTTATAACATCAACATCACTTGTCATCGATTGGGCCATAAGACGGCAAGAGACGCCTCCCTTTTTCAGATTTTCGTTCTTATCTGAAGTTCGAGAGTTCGACTCATGCGCCGAGTCGGTGACCCCAGTGTTATGTAAAATTCTCCAAAGGTATTGGGCTCTGATGGTTTGAGGGTGAGTGAAGAAACCTCGTCGGATAAATTCTGGGACCCATAATACTGGTCAGTGTTGCCTCAGACTCCCCGAAATCACCGGTCTGACGCAATCGAAACATGACCGGAGTTCGGCGGAGTTCGGCATGAGTAAATAGCGACCAGCTTGCACTTACGGTCAGGGGCAAGTATCGAACCCTCTGGGCGCAAGTTTGCTCGTCGATTGGTAGTGCGTGGATGCTATCCGTCAGCTTTGTAGGACTTCAAGTTTCAAGCCATGGAACGGAATCCAATCCTTGCCCCTGTAATTCGGTTCCCCAGTCATGCCAAGCCTTATGTTTCATCTTCGAGTTCTTGTTTAGAAACATTGCAACCAGGTTCTCCCAAAAATTTGACCAGGCTTGCCAAGCCTCTTTCCCTGTTGAATTTCGTTCTCTATCAGGCCTGCAATACCGCTCTCCCTTGTACTCCTCGTGAGGTCCATCGCAACTTTCTCGCTCAGGTGGAAAGCGGCACACTATAATCAAATCAGCTTCATTAGTGCAGCTCCTGGCCGAAGGTGGATCAAGGTGAGGATGGAATTGTGATGGGCGATATCGGAGCTATATATTTCCCAAAGAGTCCAGGTAAGGCACCCACGACACTCTTTGCAACGACGGCGCGCACGGATCCATATACGGCTACGTGATGAAATCCTCGCATCCAGGAAAAGGGACCTGCAGGAATGTTGTTAGTGGGTTAGAAGAAGGCAAGACGAGAGTGACCTCCGGATCAGTGCGTGAGGTACTTACTTGAGTGGCCATGGATTGCCACACCCGACCTAGAATACATATAGTCACGGCAGGAAAGAAGACATCTCGGCCGTCAGGAAAGACTTTACTCACCCCATGGTGCGGCCATCAGAAGAGGCGTGAAACGACCGCATAATTCCCGCAAGTGCTATGACATGGGTAAAGAGAGCTTCGGTGGGTAAGAACAAGACCGGGTTTGATGAGGGTGTGTACATATGACAAAATCAGGGACAGACCGTTTTAAGTCAGGTTTCGGAGATAGAGAGTTTTACAGTAAGCAGTGAGCGTTACGGTAACCGTCGACATAATATTGATGCGTTAGCATGTGAACCAGCCCAGAGAAGGAGGGGCCGAATAGAGATTTTCGACTAGGAACATGAAGACCAACGATCGGGATTCCCACGGCGCACAATCCACTGACTTCACACTTCTTTTCTTCCGTCCCTGTTCAGGTGGAGACACAGGCCTGTATCTCTGTATTAGAGTCCTTCTACCAGTCCCTCATTTTACCCCTCGTTCCTTTCTTCTACAGCGACCGGGACAGCATATTTGCGTTTCACGGTGGCTAGTTGTTCTACGCACGCAGCACCCTCCCTGTGCACTCATTCCAGGCAGCTTCTTAGACTCCACGGAAATACCCACTCGTGTCCTTCCTTATGATAGCCACATTGCATCCAGTTCAATCCCGCTCAACCTTCCTCCTGACGCACTCAATGTCCTTGACCCAGGCAGAGCAGCGTCAACTCTCTTCAAACGAGCCTGGGTTTGATGCCTTCCGTAACACTCCGAGCCGACATGTTCGCCACTCAGCGTCAATCACACCTATGCCAGTTGCTGCAGTCAAGAGACCTGGCCAACCTGATGGCCCATCTCAGTCCATGTCTGTTATCCTGCAGAAGCATCATACTTCACCCTCACTGCCCGAGAGTCGTGTCTCTGCATCCCGACATGTCTCCCCCGCACCGATGGTGAGCCCTTCGTTCTCTCGCGAGAGCGAACCACCGTCGCCCAACGATCCCCCCATCACCTCGGGCAACCAGGACAAGAAGAGCCCAAAACGGCCGTACTTTGACTATGGTCTATCCACTACACCCGCCGATTCCTCGTTGCCGCGCAACGCAACAACCGTGGACGTCCCAGAAAACTCTAGCCCATTTTCATCTCCTTTGTACTCTCAGTTCACCAATCTGCTATCTCTCAATGCATGCTCCTTCCCATCGGAGCTCCCTTCTCCGTCGCATGCCCGCACACCCGCTTCTCATATAATTAGTGAAAAGGACGTGCCTATCACGATCACCACGTCTCCGCCTAAACCCTTCTTCCACTCGCAACCTTTCTGGCTCGTCCTCTATTTCTGCTTCAACCTCGGGCTCACCCTGTACAACAAAGGAGTATTAATTCACTTCCCATTCGCGTATACACTCACAGCAATCCATGCCTTGTTCGGCACGGTTGGCGGCATCTTCCTTCTGAAAACTGGAATATATACGCCCGCAAAGCTCTCAAATGCTGACAATGTGGCGCTGGTCGCCTTTAGCGTTCTGTACTCTACCAACATTGCCGTCAGTAACCTATCTTTGGAAATGGTTACCCTTCCAGTAAGTTCACTTCCTTCACATCCACTAATCGCCCAGACATGTGTTTCAGTTCCACCAGGTTGTCCGCGCAGCGACACCTATATTTACCATCTTTCTTTCGATGGTCCTATTTGGCTCTCGAAGCGGTGGGCAAAAGGTTGCTTCACTGGTTCCTGTTGTTGTCGGTGTTGGCTTGGCGTAGGTTTTGCCGCTGTCATGTTTGAAGCAAGTTGACCAATTTATCCCCTCTAGCACCTATGGTGACTATTATTGCACGGCCGCCGGGCTCATTCTGACCGTCCTCGGGACATTCTTGGCCGCTATGAAGACAATTTTTACAAGCATCCTTCAATCACCACCATCACTATCTCATCAGCACCACTCCAACTCGCTACTTCGTTGCATCGTTCCCCCGCGTCTTCAATTGCATCCCCTCGACCTTCTGACACGCATGGCACCTCTAGCATTCGTGGAGTGTGTCATTCTTGCCCACATCAGTGGTGAACTCGATCGGGTGCGTTTGTGGAGCGCGCACGAGATGACACCCTGGACGGCAACTGTCTTGTCCCTGAATGGGGCGATCGCGTTTGGACTCAATATTGTCAGCTTTACGGCCAACAAGAAAGCAGGACCACTAAGCATGACAGTTGCGGGTACGTCCCCCGATCACTGGGTTTCGCGTAATGTGGGTTTTCGTGGACAATTACTGACAGTTTCCGGGATGTAGCAAACGTGAAGCAGGTGTTATCAATCATCCTCGCTGTCCTGATCTTTGATCTGTCGATATCATTCACAAATGCAGCGGGAATCATGCTTACATTGGCAGGGGGTGCTTGGTATGCGGCTGTAGAATACAGGGAAAGAAGAGCAAGGGGTAAGATATGAATGAAGACAATCTGCCATGCGTCATAGATCCGGCGGGAATCACAATCCCCTAACAACTGTCCCTTTATCTATGCCCTCCCTTTCCTACTCTCAGTACCATTGGCCACTATCGCACTGCCTGCAATCTGCATTCCGTGAGCTTTTCCATTTCGTCCATGTGCTCTGCAGTCTTTCTATCGTGTGATATACCCCCTTGGGCACTTTGTAAATAATCCAGAATGATTTTAGGATAGGTATATATTGTTTTTGGCGGCCATGCATACATGTATCTTTGTGTATAACTTTTGGCTGTATCTTGTTGTCATCACATTTTCGAACTTTACAATAGTGATGGAAGCCAAGCATATATAAATATCCTAAGTAGTGCATCCCTTGTCCGTAATACCTCCACGTCATTGTTGCCATCAGGTATTTTCCATCAGTAAGTTCTTATTAAGTAGTTGGCCTGCGAACTCAGAATTAGCTCTCTGGTTACGTACATGAATACTTGCTGCTGGTTTGGGTTGAACTCCTGTTTCTGACTGAACCGGCGAAGTTCGTGTAGCGCACAAGCGTTGTAAGAGGGCCACGTCAAATGCAGCATGGGCTACGGCCAAATTATGACAATAGATGAGGGAAATGAACTCAGCGCCCCTAGTACCCACTTGGGTTCCAAGGAAACGGGAACACAAGTTTGCGGTATGCTTCACACGCTGTCGCACTATCTGGCCGCCGAGCTCGGCACGGCTGTAGCAAGCAGGGAAGTCATGTCAACCGCTCGTCAGAAAACCGCATAGTACAGTGGGGGATACTTGGAAGCACCTAACGACCGAGTCGGACGTATCACAGATGTGATATTTATACGCGCTTCTAGAATTTCCGCGTTTTCGAGGGGAGAATGCACTGTGGGAGGTCCACTGACGCGGCACCACGGGTGAACAAAATAGAAATTCAAAAGAGCAGCGGTCAACGGAATGTTGTGTCTACCAGAGTGGGGGCCAGAGACCACTTTCCTCTTCATGTGGTACTTCCTGTCGAAATTCTCCTAGCGTCTGCTCCGCTTGCACCTCAACTCCCCAGACCCCTAGTTACTGCTTCCCTTGTCTCTGCCCCCGGCCCGGACCCTATTTCCCCGCTACTGCGGGCAGCACTTATTATTTTTCCAAGTCAAGGGAGGAGAAAAGATACGACAGTGTCACACGGTAGCGCGGTACTGGATACCTTGCATGGCGCCATACCGACAGGCTCAGAGAGGGTGTAAGGAGCGATGCTCGTGGTGGCCTGGCATCGCGTAGGATTATCTTCTAATCACAGAGTTGCATTTGGGAGGGGGGGGGTCCACTGAAAAATATGAGCGCTTTAAAACACAGGAAAGGACGTTAGTATAGGGGAACTCTGAGCGTCACGACACGAACCCTGGCGGCGCAACCACTGGCTCCAGCGGAAAGTATGCATTTGATTGGTTGCGGAAAAATGCAGTGGAGTGGTATTAAAGTGGACGACGGATTTATGTAAGATCTTCTGAAGCGTCTGTGGAGTTATCGAAGCACTAGAAGCGCCTCGATAGCACGACCTCACTACTGGTAACGCATCAGGCCCGACTAGCAGAAGATGGGTCGCATTGGAAAAGGCGCTGCAAATACTGAAAGGCCCCTCGCTGGCCGTGAATCTCCACAGACGCCCCCATGAATTCAATTTGAAGCTTGAATCATTGGACCAGTCAGACTTAGATATCTAATGTCATCTAATTTTGAATGAGGTTTACCTCAAGAGATTTGACACTCTCTGAACTCCGACACGAGTATTGGAATGTTGGTCGGTCTACATCTGGGAAACAGCTACACGACACAGCTGTTGACAAGCCTTTCATACTTGAGCAAGCCCTCTCATTTGCCAATAGGTGTTTTACCAAGCACAAAAGGAGCATTACAACAAGTCACTTCCAAATGGAGGCATCCATACACTGCTCATCCCCTCAGGTAGTTTCGCAGATGTAGGAAGAAACAGGGAATTTTAAGTGAGCTTCTTTCAGGTAGAATAGGGCCGCTCAAAGTTAAACGTGGAAAAAACACGCAAGCAAACTCAAGTGCGGTTGAGTTGTGAGTTTGTGGGCGAATATTTAATCTCCGACTGGAGATTCGAACTCCGCAGAAAAAGCGCGTGACCCGGAAACGGTAGATGTGTAGATAATGCTAATAACGCTCCGATTTAAAATTAAAACTCCGCCGAAAAGCGTGTATGCTTATCAACAGAGAGATCTAGCAAGTGATAACAAACTGATAACAAACAGGACAAACATCCATATTCATGTACTACTACATACTACTGTAGATGTGAATACAGATGCAGATGTATACATGGGGGGGAGGGGGGGGATAGCAATACAACTAGGGGGGGGGGAATGGGGATGCATACTAAATGATGATCAGTATTCTGTCATACACTGTTTCAAAGCAGATAAACATCTTGATTGCTAGATGAAGGGACTTGATCCTCACTGCCAGCTACACCTTTTTGCAAGGTGAGGTTCTGAGCATGAGGTTCCTCCAACTTGACAGTGAGCTTCATCTTCTCCAACTCTTGAGCTGCCATTGTCTCCTCATGTGTGAACAGCTTGTGTTGCATAGTAAGTTGGTGTTCATGACTGGCCAAGAGAGTGGTGGCCTTCTGGCAAGTCCTCCAGTATCCATACTCCAGCTGGTGATGCTTGACCTCTGACCTATCCTGCTGTGCCTGTTGAAATTGCTTAATGAAAGTTAACAAAGCAGGTGCAAGATCCAAAGAAAGTTTGTCAGCAGGGGTTTCCCACACATGCTTACAGGATGGCTTTGATGACAGCTTGGAATCACTATCATCAGAGAGAGCAGTGATGCTGGGGGGGGAAGATGATGAGAGACAAAGGGCTGAGAACATATTGGATGAAGTGATGTCAGAGTCAGATGAGTCATCTGTATTTGGAGTGGAGGCTGACCAGTGTTTAAGGAGGGGTTGATCCTGCTCAAGGGACAGATGTGCTGGCTGAAGTTTTGGTTGATGGGATATGAAGGGAGGGGGGTTGTCATTCAAGCTGATAGAATTAACTCTGTTAAAAGTAGAGGGGGTGTTATGCCTGAGTGCAGTGACTTCTTCAAATAGAATAGGCATGAAGTGTGCAAGGGGGAGTCTATGGGCCAAACTTGTCATAACCCCTATGGCTCAGCTATCATGGTTGCCCAACAGAGGTTCACTCCTTCTGGTGAGTTCTTCTGAGATCACATGGAGGAGGGAACAAGAGCGAAGAGATGAGCTGAGTTGCAAGCTATCAAAAAACTGAGGATACAAGGTAAAGTACGTGGGTTTATATACCCCTAAGTATGAGTACTGTACCAATTGCAACATGTATCCACAGTAACCAACAGAACAATCAGTCAAATAGATAAGTCAAACAGAGTCATATGGTGTCATATGATGGGAGTAGATAAGGGAACGAAGGCTATACCGGCTGCACAATCAATGTGCAGTGAGGAGCCAGACACCAGAGCTATAGTACAACATGTGTACAACATATATGAGTCAGAAACTAATCAGTGGAACAAGAAAGAGACATGTCATCCATCAAAGAGGGCAGTGGAACACCAGATCAATGGCAAGGCATGGTCTTGACAGGTATTGGAAATACCATGACAGTGGGAGATCTGAAGGAGCCTTGCATTAAGTGAACCCCTAGGATGGTGATGGTTATGAGAGATGCAATGAGGCATGTGATGCACATGACCACAAGAAGTCAAAAAAGGAAGGACCCCTGATGTGGGCACAACATCACCCCCCCTCTAAGGTCCTCAGACCCTTGAGGACAGGCCAGATGCATTGGTGGGACAGGCAGAAAGGGGTCAGTGAGCAGTATAGATGCAGGAACAAGTGCACGAAGCGATGGGCAATGATGGTGATGGAGATGGTGGCTCCTTGAGGCCTGGGGTAAAATGGGTGCTGTGTCCATTGTGGCATGACCAATGTCCCAGGTAATGGCACTGGAAGCACATGTGTTGATAAAGGATGTGGTCAGTGGGGATGGGAGACTGCCCTCTGAGGTAAAACCAAAGCTGGTCAAGAGGGATGGGGACAAAGGGAGTTGCAGGGAGAGGGTTGGTGGAGTGGACAGCATTATGGTAGTGTTTATGAAGTCCAGCCCACAAGGCATCCTTCAGCAAAACCTCCCATGTGGAGTTGTGAGTCCCAGTTCCCAGGTGAGCACCAACCTCTTTATATAACTCTCTGGAATTGACATATGACAGCTCCAGTGCTTTCCATGGATCACCCTTCTCCTGCTCCAACTGCTTCTTCTCTTGTTGTTCACAGGAAACCAGTGGGTCTTGTTTTGGGCAAATCTGATGTGAGTCAAAGTGTGGTTCAGTGGTGAAAACCAACCAAAACCAACACAAAAGACAAAAAGTGCAAGTGGTGGTGTGCCTATGCGGTACCTAGATGGTAGAACCTGTTCTTTGGGAGGGTTTTTGTGAGCTACAACACTCAAAGATGAGCACTGAGGGTTGGGGGGTGCTCCTGATGAAGAAGAAGCAGGAATGTGAGAGAATGTGATAGGGTAGACTGCTGTCAGCCTACAGAAGGATGGATGATGACTTAATTCAATGTCCTAAGCTGCACTGAGCTCAGGGAGGGCTTGGAGCGAAGTATATTGATGATAGACAAGGATAAGCAAAGTAGATGATAGTTAGACCCTTAATAAAGTCTCAACTATTGAAGCTGCTGAATGAATTACTGAGTGATGATAAAATGTGAGCAAGAGGGGCTCTCTGATGTCTTCCTTTTTTTGCTATCTAAGTACAGTGATTTATATACAGTACAGGGGTGTTGCCCTTGGAAAACAAGGTGCAATCACTTGGTAAGTGATTGGTAACTGATGAGTAAGGAATGTAAGCAATGGGTAATCATCTTGGAAAGCATTGGTAAGCATTGGTAAGGATTAGCAGGCCAAAAAGCAAAGAATCAGTAAGCAAAGTCAAAAGATTGGTAAGTATTGGCAATAGGTGAGTCAAAGACAGTCAGAACATCAAAGTATGAGTCAAGTAATGTCAGGAACTGGGAAAGCACACTGGAATCACATTGGGGGGAGGCTGTGCATGTCACATCTCAAAGAGATTGCTTCTAGGCCAAGGTGGGATGACAGAGAGGCAGTGCTGATCTGATGCCAATATAGTACATCCAAAAGTGGACAGGGTGAGTCAGATGTCAACAGGGGTCAAGCTTTGGGGGTCTGTGGGGTGACAGGAGCATAGGGGATCACAACTTTCCCCCCCAAACCATCCTCTCAGTGAAGCAAATAAAAACTTCATGAATGAGGCTCTGTTGGAAGAGAGGATGAAGGGGGAGTGTCTTCTGCCATATCTTGCAACAAGGAGGCAAGATGTGCATCATACTCATCATGGATGCAATCAGGGAGAGTGGAGAGCAGTAGATTATGCTGTAGCTGTCACAATCTTGGAAGAATGATGGATGAGACTGGTATGAAGACATTGCAGGGAGCAGGGAGGAAGGATCCATATGCTTCTTGGACTGGAGAGACTGAAATGACCACATAAGACCTTTCCAAGTTAATGACAGACCTGAGGTGACCAAAGAACTTTTGAAGGATGCTGTAGATATCCTCAGTAGTGCAACAAGCTACTGATGTATTAGACCAACCTGTAGGTATCTACAGGATATCAGTAAGTATAATACTGGTAGTGAAAGTGAGCTTACCCTCAGTAGTGCAACAAGCTACTGAGGGAACAGTGAATAAACTACTGTAAAATGTGCGCTCTAAGGTGATTATGTAAGCACCCAAACATCGCACCAAAGTGAGCAGAACACAGGGGAGAATATATCTCCAACAAGAACGTCCTCCTAGAGGCCATACTGACAAAAAGAACACACTGTCCAAGCTGGATGGGCTGAGAGGGCACAGATGAGGGTGGGATGTACCAGGATGCTTCAGGATGAAAGCTGGTAGGAACTCCTGGTAGATATATGTAGCCATGGTCCCTAGCAAAGGGGACAAGTGAAATGATTGATGCAGAGGCAGCCATATCAGAAGAATTTAGCAAAATGAGTGTCTTTTGGAGGGAGTGCTGTAGAAACATGTGGAGTGTGCAAATCCTTTCCAATTTTGGAAGGTAAGATCGTGTGGCTGAGCACTACAAGCGAGTGTGGGAATGGTCTCTGTATCTGCAGAAATGGTGGAGATATGTCGAAAACCAGAATGCCATACACAGGCACTTAAGAATTTTAGCCAGTGCTTAACTCACTCCCTTTCTCTTTCTCTGGCACTGATGACTTGTTCTTGTGTGAGGGGTGACTGCCAACATTCCTAGGCTGTCCTTCTTCGCATGAGGGCTATGGTCTTCATCTCCATTCATCAGCTGTATCCATGTCCACCTCACCAAACACCTTTGGTGTGTGACACTGATCAAGAAGACAAGAAGCTGGTGGGGTGAGGAACTTGCTGACCTGTTGATGGAGAAGGTGATGGTAAGCACCACCTGTAATGGCTTCTAAAAGCCCCGAAGAACTTCTTTCCAACATATTGATCATGATGACCTCTGACAGGGGAGTGGTGCCACTGAGCTTTCAGGTGCATATCTTTGAGATGGCAGAATTGATCATGTCTGTCACTCTGTAGATTTCAGACAGCAGCCCAAAATATGCAACCTGTTCTGATGAACACCCATCAATGTTGTCCCCATCATGGAAGATGTCAAGTGCCCTAACAATGTCCAGGTAGTCAGCTGTTGCAATTGGTAATTGCAGCTCGTCATCCCTGGCAAGGGCTGCTGTGGCAAGAAGATTGAGGGCTGCACATTGTGTGCTGTCAGAGTAGGTGGTGAAGGCAGTGCATAGGTGGGGAGATTTGGGAGCATTGGAGGAACTGGCCTTGGCTGCTTGACTATTGGTGTCATCATTAGCCCTTGCCTTACCCTTTCCCTGCTGGTCACTGTCTCTACTGAGGGAGACCTTGGCCTTGGGGGCAGGGTCCCTCCTAACTGAGAAGGATGTGTGTGGACACAGTTGGAGAGAGCAGGCGACAGGGGGTGATGTCATGCGAGGTTGTGAGATGGGGGATAAGGGGTACAAGTCAGGAAAGTTGGCAGTGGTTGTTGGAGGTGAGGCTGGGGCATAGACAGTGACAGGAGGGATGAAGAGGTCATCTCAGTCAGCTGTGGGGTCATAAACAGATTCTGCAAGGGGGAGGTCGGCATAGTCATTCTTGGTGTTGACAGAGCGAGGGGAGTCCATTAGTTATGAAGGTGATGAGCAAGCTTGTACTGGGAGAGGGCCTCCAAGGTGTGATCCTTTATATGTTCTTCGGGTTCCCAAGTATTTGATGAATGGGGGAACCCTTTCCACTTTACCAGGTACCACCTCTTGCCTCTGCACCCATCAACCTTGTGATTGATTATTGACTCTACCTCCTGCTCAATTTCATCATTGACAAGCTCCAGCAATGGCATGGGTGGAGCTTGTCCATACATGTCATTTTCCTGATAAGGGTAGATTTGAGAGGTGTGGAACACAGGATGAACCTTCCAGGTTAGCAGGAGAGCCAACCAGAAGGCTATGGGGGAAATGACCTGAGTGACCTCAAAGGGGCTGAGACATCTGGGCACAACTTTGTTGCACTGGTTCCTGATACAAAGATGCCTGGTATCTAGGAGAACTTGATCTCCCACCTTGGGCATGACATAGGATCCTTTTGAGTGCAAATGCATCAGATCCTGTGCTTTCTTGTGCACAAGAATGGTGACATCCCTGTTCGAGGCCAGCCTTTCTAACCTTTCATCCACTGAGGGGACTGTGGTCAGCTGGACCTCTGGATAGGGAGATGGGTCATATCCTAAAAGGAGTGAAAAGGGAGTCATTTGATGGACTGAGTGGACTTGGGAGTTGTGGGCAAATTCTGCAGAGGGAAGTTTGGCAGCCCATGAGTTTGGTGCTTCAGTGCAGTACAACCAAAGGTATCCCTCCACTTCTTGGTTAACTCTTTTGCTTTCTCCATTGGTCTGAGGATGATAACCTGTCGAAAGTTTGGGGGTTACCCCTATTGCCTTGTAGAGTTCCTTTGTAAATGATGACACAAAATGTGGTCTGCAATCTGAGATCACTTATTCTGG